GCCATCGCTTTCATCATGCGATAATTGCAGATCGCGCAACATCAGCATGGGCATAGAAATAGTTGAGGCCATAGACAATAGCTTCAATACCTCATCAAACAATAAGGAACGTTCAATATTATACAGAGGACAATGGAAGAAGTTTTTCTTCCAGTTTCAACTTCCGTTGTCTTTATTGTTATTTCTTTTTATCATTATATTTCATTTTGAATCTTTGTTTTGGGAAGGAATTGTACAAAGAATGCTTATGCAACATCAATCACGAAACACACAGAGCGCTATCCTCACTTTTTCATTCCCTGTCCCATTTTTATTTTTTATTTTCTATTTTGTTTCAACTCTTCTCCTTTTTTTCTTTACTATTGATCTTTTACTTGTTTTGACTTTCTGTACTCTTGTTTATTGTTGGCGAAATTGTTCGTTTATAGTGCTACAGTGAGTCCGCGACTCTTTGCATTTATTTTTCTCTTTCTTTCAATAAAACGTTTAAATGAAACAATATTTTGGAGGTACAAGTCCGCGTCCAAAACTCCCACTTTCGTTGTTTCTACCATTCGCTATTCTGCATTTTCGACATGCTTATGATCATCTTATGCATTTTGCCTGGTCAGTTTCCGTGTTTTGAGTTTTCGATCAAAGGCATACGTACCTTTTCTACATCATTGAATGCAGTTTTGGTTGCTAATTCAAACTCTGGCATGTCGAAAAAGGAGACAAGTGTAATTTAAGGTCGAAAATGCGAGGAAAAACCGACAGAAAAGCCTTGTGTCTTTCCTCTTCCTGTAATTTCAGACAGCTTAATAACGAGACTTTTCTAATTTAGTTTTTTCTTCAGAAAGCTGTTTGTCAGTCACGATCGTGTGATACGCAATAAAATATAGTATTTGTTTAAATTTTTAGGTGACGGAGATCGATGGTCTTCGTTTAATAATTTTATTCGTCATGGTGAGGCAGGTCGTATCGTGATGAAAGGTGGTCCTGGTCGAGCAAGAGACATTGCACCAGGTCAATATAATTTATTAAGTTTCGATTTAGCTCCTCATCGGCACCGTCGTCAGTCTCCCGCTCCCGAGTACGTAACAATTCAAAACAATGTAGTTTGGATTCCATCTGAACAAGGTAGTACTGAATCGGGGGAAATAATATTTCCAAGTGAATTTAATCACCGTTTGCATATTGAATTAGCAACGAATGAAAAACTTGGCTATTATGGTTGTTGTTTTGCGAATATGACAGAAAGAAATGTTGTACTCTTTAAGCCACATGCTATTCAAGATTTTACATACTCGTCAAATTATTTTTCCGATTTTGTCGGAGCTGGACATCGTGCTGGTTTGGAACGACATAATTTTGCACATTTCGATTGTCCATTGGATGACACTAGTCAGGGGTATTTTATACTTGGAAAATATATGAACAATCATAAAAATGAAAATGTGCTGCATTTGTCAGCATTTATCATACCAAAACACTTTACGTTATATATCCCTCCGAATGTCATACATTCGAATGATTATTTACGAGGCAAATGGAGGACCATGCTGTCCGATTTACTAGTTGATCACGTTAAATTAAAACAAAGAAGACATAATCCACACGAAATGTCCGATTTTGCATTTGATTTTATTGTTTGATGACGATAAGAACGCTAAACAGTTTGTTTTTGATGTATATATGTAATTATTAGTTTATGAGATGAGGTGAATACCGAAAGTTCCCGCCTTTTAAATAGAACCAGCTGTTTTTCGTAATGATTTTCGCTAGAAAAAATTACTGCAAAATCAAGGACTCAAGTTTCGATATTTTAGTTAACTACTGTCCGCAAAAAAATCCAGCTTCCTTGGCCATTTTTGAATAACTTTTGAGTGGTAACCTACCGTTTACGGATTATGTAAGAAGACACCTCTGGGCGTTTCTATTTAATCAAATTCGACGAGTCTGCCATGGTGTGTCTTTCGAAACAGAATGTCTGAGCCTGCCGTTCCAAAAGTCCACATACTAAAATACTGCCCTTAACACATGCAGATATACAAAATATACAGTAA